GCCACGTATTGATGACTTATATGCAACACTAGCTGATGGTGAAAAGTTTACCAAACTCGAGCTGAGTCATGCATACTCGCAGATAGAGCTCGATGAAGCTTCAAGGAAACTTACTACCATCACCACGCACATGGAACTATTTCAATATACTCGTTTACCTTTTGGCATTAATTCCGCCCCCGGAATATTTCAGAGAATTATTGACGACTTAGTGAAGGACATTCCTTTTGCGTGTGCTTATCTGGATGATATTCTTATTTCTGGACGCTCGGATACAGAGCATCCTTGAACACTCGCGGTCGTGCTCGAGCGTTTGAAGCGAAGTGGATTCAGATTGAAAAGGTCTAAATGTGAGTTCCTTTCACCTTCCGTTTGTTACCTTGGATACTGGCTTGATAAACACGGTTTACATGTTTTAAATGACAACGTTAAACCTATTTTAGAAAGCCCAGAGCCAAAGAGTTGTGATGAACTTCGTTCGTTCTTAGGAATGCTATCTCACTATCGCCGTTTCCTGCCTAATGCATCGATGGTTCTATCGCCATTAAATGAGCTGTTACACAAATATGCATCGTGGTGTTGGGGTTCCCGTCAAAAATGCCTTCAATAAAGCAAAACAAGTTCTTGCTTCACCAACAATGTTAGTCCATTATGACTCTAACAAGCCACTCATACTTCAGTGCGACGCGTCCCCTTGGGGGGTCGGGGCTGTCCTGTGCCACCGCATGGACGATGGTTCTTTACGTCCCATAGCATATGCATCGCGCACCTTACAGATGGCGGAGAAGAACTACGCACAACTGGACAGGGAAGCGCTAGCCGTTATCTTCTGAATTAAGAGGTTTCACCAGTATTTATGGGGAAACCTTTTCGAGCTTCATACAGACCACAAACCATTGATATCCTTGTTTGGGGAAACCAAAGGTATACAACAAATGGCATCACCGAGGATGCGAAGATGGGCTATAACCTTGAGTGCTTATAGTTAAAAGATTGTTTATATTACCGGCGTCAGCAACTGCACAGCTGATGCACTCCGCCGTCTGCCGATCACGAAAACTGCACATGAACACGACCCTCCGTTTGAACTGGTTAATCTAATGCAACATCTAGACACAACACCGATACGGAGTTCAACAATCCGTCAATGGACGGATCGAGACCCCGTGCTATCAATGGTAAAACGCTTTTTGAACATGGGTTGGCCTCCTGAAGGGACAGTTGAATTACAACCGTTTATAATTCGGAAGAACGAACTGAGTCTATTCGACGGCTGTGTTTTTGGGGCTCTCGTCTAGTCCCTCCCACCAAGACGCGTTCACAGATACTTAAAGAGCTCCATGATGCTCATCCAGATGTGGCGAGGATGAAGGCACTAGCGAGAGGGTACTGCTGGTGGCCCAAAATCGACTCAGACATAGAGAACTTACTGAAGAATTGCGATATTTGTCAGGCGTATCAGCGGAGCAAGGCGCCAGCTCCAATACACCCTTGGCGTTGGCCCGACAAGCCCTGGCAGCGTATCCACACCGACTACTTCGGACCGATCGACGGGACCATGTTTCTTCTACTTATTGATGCACATTCTAAGTGGATTGACGTACATCCAGTTACTCAGGCGACAGCCGAATCCACCATCACTAAAATGCGCTCGTCCTTCGCTACGTTTGGCATTCCGGAAACCATTTGTACAGACAATGGTTCGCCTTGTACCAGTGCCGAATTTGGTAAATTTGTCGCCAACAACGGAATCCAACACGTTAAATCAGCCCCGTATCACCCATCATCAAACGGATTAGCGGAGCGTGCAGTACAAACTCTGAAACAAGGCTTACTAAAGCAGCGAACGGGAACATTGCGAACAAAACTGGATCGGTTCCTATTCTCCTACAGTTCTACACCCACTGAGGCTACCGGGAAATCCCCGGCGGAATTGATGTTCGGCGGAAATCTGAGAACGAGGCTTCATTTGTTGTTCCCGAACCCGCGTGTTGAAGTATAGGAGCGTCAGAAAAAGGTTGTGTCTTCAGAGGAATCAAAGCCGGAAGTTACATTTCAGGACCACCAACCTGTTTACACCAGGTTACCACATGAACAATGTTGGCAGCCGGCGACTGTGCTCGATTCTTCAGGAAGTCAAAACGATTTGCAGCTTCCGGACGGCCGGGTTGTTCGCCGGCACTCAGATCATGTACGCCCCAGGAGCACTGACACACCTGCCGTGAGTCAGTCACACTCGGAGATCGCAGAGCAAGCTGCAGAGCACGACGAACACAGAACAACAGGGGAAACTCAATTACGCCGAACGACCCGGATTCGCAAACCGATCGAACGTTTTCAGCCATGACTGTAACGTCAGCCAAAACAGGGAGGACTTTTACGTGTTCAACCAATGATCGCTCACTATGACCGTGAACCTGATTGGCCCTACACACACACGTAGATAAGCACGCACACACGCACTCAAGGACACACCCTAACGTTCCTTGCTCACATGTAAACCGTTAAGTGTTCAGTACACTGTGCGCCAGACTGACGCGTCTTCTTGCTTATTCGCTACGAGTTGAAATACGTACTTGCGGTTAGAGTTCAGTTGTGATAGTATAGACGCCATCTATCTTCAGGTTTGTATTCATGTTAGGTAATAAAATTTAGTGCCGAAAATTGTCCGACTTATTGACCACGCATTAATGATTAGTCGCGGATGTCCAAGCAATTGTGATTAGGTAGTTAGTTACATGTTTTGATACAGGTGAGTTTGCTAGTAATTACGTTTGATAACTGATTGATGACCCAGTCCTCGTACCTTTATCCCCCCTAAAGTTGCCTTTTATCCCTTAGGGGTAATTAACCCAAGGTTGAGAGTAGCTGCTCTAGAAGCTTAGTGTCATAGTTGCGCATATTTCCGTCGATTCAGAGAAGTCTACAGTTTTGGCGGTTCAGATACGTCTATCGCATGGTACTACAGAGGCAAGCGAAACTGTTTATTCAAGCTATTTGCAAAAGGAATTTTTCCGCCGAGCGAAGGAAACTGGCTAAGTGGACGTTTCCGCACCACTGCGTATTTCCAAGTTTAGTGTATTGGTCATGTTTCCAACGAGAACATCGAAGCCGCAAAAACCGGACCCCTGCTAACGTCCGATTTGCACATCTGTTGCGCATACATCTGATGTGTCAATTGATAGGCATGATGTAGGGCCGTGCATGGTCTCAGCCTGGGTTCTGTAGCCTGTTACAGCGGGGTTAGGGGTTGACTTGTAGCTTAAAAGAAACGAATGTATGCCCCATTCTGTCAGTCCTTCTGTCTGAAATATTAGACGCGAGCGCCTGAGGGTGTCCACAAAACCTTCTACTTGCCCGTCAGGTCGCTGATATTCCAAAGCCAGTAGACCGCGTTTGATGACAACGCCTACATTAAGCATTTAGTATTGTCGGAGAAATATAGTACCGTAATCGGAAACCAAGATGTTCGGTGAACCGAACGGTACAAAATGCTGTTTTACTTTTTTTGCGGCTGTTTTCGCGGCGTAATTATGGAGTACAGGAAGTACTCATCAACAGCAATTGTGAGGCATATGTCTTGCACTGGGCTTTTGATATCAAAGTGATTTCTCTCCCAAGGTCCAGAGATCAGTGCCATAAGTTGGGTGACTTTGTTAGGAAGTTCAGTGGCAGAGGCGTAATTGATACATATGACGTTGCCCTCCTGTGTAGTATTGTTAACGAAAGTTTAGCACACGTATCATATGACTACAGCCTCCATTAACAAGTTGCCACAGTGCTCTATAATGAAGGGGTTTGGAAACAACGACGCATTACATATTGTAATCTACTCACACGGCGAGTGTGTCTAAATAACCTCTCCAATAAAACCCTCTTTTTCACCGAATTTATGAAACGTCTGCACAATAATCAGTCAGCTCGGAGAACCGCCCAAACTCCGCATCCACACCCCGAGCTACGCATATTCTCGTTTATTTCAAATAATATGGTAATGTGTTTGTTGTGTTTTTGGCGCTGTCAATATATAATGAGAGTCAGCTGCCCACAGCACGTGTCGCTGATGTGCTAAAGGTAGCTAACACACTACCTTGGTATCAGAATACTGAGAAGCTGTTTTGTGAACCGGTTCTTTTCAACTTTATATTCCGTTCCTGCTAACGTTGATGACAGATCGTACGAAAAGACAATGTTGCTCTTACAGAACCAAATTGATTCAGTAAGCGATGCACCGCTGCCAGCCAAGCATGGTTACCAAGCTCTAACAGGGTAAGAAAACGGACTTCAGTTTCCACCCCGCAGTGTTGGAGTCAAACCAGCAGAATTGGAAGTATATACAGACATTTAACCTATCCCACTACTGTGAAACCAAGGCGTGGGAATTGTAACTGAAGACTGTATCAGATGCCAGCTGGAGTAATGTTTTTCTAATCCCCATTCTGCTACGTAGGTCCAAGAGTGCAAACAACGAGAAAACTAATCGCGCAGTGGAAAACTGAGGGCCAGTGGCAGCCAAAGTCTGTCGACTTCCGAAATGTAGCTTAAATTTGTGGCTAGTGGGCCGACATACTCGTAACTCAATTACCTATCGAAATAAATTGCAGTTCATGCGTTATTCTTCCATCGTGTTGACATCCATAGATAAGGTAACACGGGTTTCTGAGAAGCGAAAATAGCCGTTAAACATTGCCTTCGGATAGAGCGTACCATTTTGCAATTCTGCACTATAAATGCATGTCGAACAAGGTAGGAAGTGAACTGGTGATGTTGAGCACAGCTTGACCACACCGATCCCGCTGGATCAAGCAAATATGCATCACACTGTACACTTAAGTGTCCAAAAGCGAGGTTAGGAAATCAAGGAACCTTATTCTAGTGAATATGTCATGATATATTTCATATGCGACGTTCATTAGTTGGACATATTTAAAAGAAATAGATGTTAACTTTATTTACATGTACGCTGTGAGCGGAAGAGGATGTACTGTTTGGAAACTCACTCTTTTGCTCTTGACCGACGCAACGAGAGAGATCGCGGACACTTGAAACGAGCTGATCCCAGATTTGATGCAGACGCTCCAACTTGTCGCTTACCTGCTCCTCCAGGTCTGGGTACTGTGCCGTTAGATACTGACCTGCCTGTGGACACATGTTGCAAAAGAACGCGGTTGTACAAAGTGAGCAGGGAAAACTTGAATAGCAGTAAGGGTTTGGCCTACATTACCTCTGTCATGGACTGTTGTCTGTCATCTAAACGGGTATCTAGGTGTGTAGGTTTGCTTACCGAAGGTCTCTTGAACGGCTGAGAAGCTGAGATACCGGTACTAATGCTGACGCGTAGATCAAGACAGGTACTTTAAAGGATGCCGCGCAGTTACTACTGATGTTCCCCAATGAATGACGAAGGTTATGAGCAAACTACAGGATAGGACAGCATCTCCGTACAAAGAGAAAAAATAATTTAATATTCGCGAGTGTCGTTTAATCAGTGAGCAAAACATTGATGTTTGGTTTTTTCCACAAGAGAATAAAAACTGAGCAGGACTGCTGGATTGTTTGTAGTGTTTAGCTGCGCAACTCACTGTATAATAAATCAGCCTGAGTGCAAGAACGGTTATTCAAAGTCAACTCACATTCTGACCTTGCTCTGTGCATAAATCTACCAATTTGAGTTGATAAATGAGCTAAATGAAAGAATCTGGTTGCCAATTCTAAATTTCACGCTTTTGTGCCATATAAAAGAACATGTAATTACTTCCAAAATATAAGTGCATGAACGACTGTTTTCTCACTCTCGAATTTGTCGAAACAGAATCTTTACTATTCAACTAAGTAACAACGGAATATCGCCGAGAAGGCTTCAGGTTACCGATTTTCGGAATTTGGTTGTTACTACGCCCGTTGATCGATATATCTGGGTCTGCTGAACACTCAGCTGCTATGTGGCTTGTGAAACTAGTCTTTGCGTGGTACATTTGCAATTATTCAACAGATAGCAAACCTAAGTGTGAAGGAAATACTGATGCTCTCATTCGTTGTAGCACCACTCTTTAAGAAGGTCTCGTTGCTAGAAACGGTTACTTTCATCTGCGAGGACCTAAAAATGGAATAAGGTGCTTCGTATTGCCTTTCAAAAGTTTAGAGAGCTCATTTTGCGTCGCACAGTTAACAGGCATTTATATTTTGATGGAAGAAAGCATCGATAAATAGACGGAATTGCGATATGATTGCCCATAGGACTGCTCCTCTTCTCGCAGAAGTTGATCGCGGACCTATCACATTATTTGATTACCACCGACGCGACTAAGATGACAAGTCCACGTTTTGTGACTCGCATACCGATCATTTTCAATTAGTGATCTAAATTAAACTCGCGCCACCCACGTGTAAATTTACCTGTGCAATTGAGGACGGTAAGCTGGCCTTCCTGGACCTTTGCTGCAACGATAGCTGGATGGACCGCTTGAACGAAATGTCTTCCTGAAGACGACCTGGGTAGCTCATTACATGCATTTCCTCGGTTTCGTATCGATAGAGTAGAAACGAAATTTAGTACGTTGTCTATACTATCGGGTTACAAGGATTTGCAGTCCAGAAACGCTATATTCTGGAAGGAATTTCATACCTACAACACTGGAATGTAACGGACGCCTAACTGCTCCCTAAAAAAGCATTCTTTGATGCGGGCTGAGTCTGCAGTAAAACGGACCGTGAGAAAAATGTTCGTATTCTTCTCAATAACTTTCAAAGCTGCATATAGTTCGAGCTCTTGAAGAGGAAATTGAGTTCCACGCTGAGGCAGACATACCTGCAGCTAGAGTGCATTTTTTGCCAAAAGTGCTCCGCTTATCACCCACCGCTTAAAAGGTATAATTCCTGCCCAATCCGAATCGTTTGTTCCATCTCGGTTCACCTGTGATGCGAGGTACCTCGGACACATTAACAGACGTATCTCAAATCGGATAGCGGAATACTGTCCTGCCTCATTACAATGTGGAACGACCAGAAATGTCCACAAGTCCATCCTGAAACATCTAGTAGGCAGTGGGGAAAAATACATATGAGAGATGCTTCTAAGGTTGAATTCTGCCTGGATATACTCGCACCAGAGCAACGCAGACGTAGACCACCCTGTCAACCAACTGCGGCGATCTTAAAGACAATATCCATCAAACACAAAAGAATGCGAGCAAAATACAAGAAGGCAAGAATTCCATCTTCTTATGTGCATTAGTGAAACAATGCTGCAATGGAGAAATAAACAGTCTTCGATGAAGTCAGCACAGGAGACAACCGCGATCTTAAGCGCAAATCCGTCAAAATCGCTCTCTAATTTACTAAAGCATAGGGGCTCTCGTAATACGACACCCACCACTTCACGTTTACTACCGGATAAAACAGTGGTTACAGACCAAGAAGAATGCGAGATTCTAAACATACATTTTTGCGACTCCTTCACTGATAGTGGTATGACACCCACAGCTCACATACATAAACTTAAGATGAACCATCCAGCATTACATTCGATCTGTGTATCACCACTGAAGTGATAATGTCGCTCAAGCTGTCCTATTACCCTGGCCCCGATGGCTTACCTTCTGCAGTCCTAAAGCTAGGTGGTCCTCTTGTTCCCCTCATACTCATGAATACATTCAGACTATCAATGAGAAGCAGCACCTTCTTGCCACCTGCAAGAATGCTGTTGTGCTACTGTGACAAAAGAGTGTGTCTCCAGAACATTGACAACTACCATCTAATTAGCCACACTCCTATTGCGTCACGAGTGATGGAGAGGAAAGAAAAGAACAAGTTCCTGAATTTCCGTTATTAAGCAGCTTACTTAATAAGTCCCCACATGTATTTTACCTGGCAAGTCCTGTCAGGCATGTCAATTCGAGTTTCCAGATCTTGTAACAAAACAAATTGATTCGAGCCATGCACGTCGTCATCCTCCTTGACATGAAGAAGGCTTTTGACCGAGTCCCGTATGCTGGTCCAGACAACCGATACATCACATCAGCTGCTGTCATGGTTTACATCTTCTTTGACAAGGCGTACACAGATGGTACGGTTGAATAGAGCAGAATGACGGTATAGGCCCGTCACTAGTGGGGACTTCCAAGTTAGTATTCTAGGCCCACTACTATTCCTTTTGTACGTTAACGACATATATGATTGTTTCACCCACAGAATGCCACTATTAGTTACAGATGATATTAAAATAGTTTTCTATTTGGATGCGAAAGGAACAGGAACTAACACGCTCCATATGCAGCGTGGTCTTTCTGCGTTAGATCCATTGTGCGACCACTGGAAAATGGAAGTCTCATCAGCCAAGGGCAATGCCATCTTCTACCGTGGTAGTCGTTCATCTGATGCATTGAGAATAAAAGGATCATCAATTGCCGATTGTCTTGCAGGATGTGACCTAGGAGTACATTACTCAGGTTCAGTAAACTTCGCCGAACACGCAGATACAGCATGGCCAACGCCAGATCAGTCACCGGGTACATCTGTAAGTCGATGCTGCTTAGGGAATCCAGACTTGCTCTGTACAAGTGTTGCGTTCGACCTATCCTAAACTACTGCTCCATAGTAGTAACTAACTCGTGGAAAAGTGAGAGAATAGCAAATGCGAGAGTGCAACGTCGTTCACTAAGCGATTACCGGAATCAACTTCCCTAAATTATCGTGTTAGATGCAAACAACTCTAGCTAGACCCATTGTTGGAACGTCTCGGCTCCCTGGTTCGGGTCCGAAAGACGATGAACGAGTTTGGTCAGATAAACTTGCTGATATGGTTAGGAGCCAACCTCAATGACGTTCGTGCTGTTTTTTCGCCCCACCCCATCCCTCTTAGACTCCTCCTCTAATCACGATTTCACTATTTAGCCTTATATAATTTTGCATAGTAAATTTTTATGCTGTGTAGTAGCCGGCTGGTAGCTTACGGGAACGATGCCCATCGGTTACCGGTAGCTCAGCTGACTTACATCTGTTGTGTTCTCCCCTTTTTTCTTTTATGTATTGCGGCACAATAGCTGAGGTGCTTTACACCTCTAGCTAACGCGTAAATTGATGATGATGAGACACATTGCGGCTCGGGAGTCTCAAAAGCAACTTGGTATTTCTCTTCCAAATACTGCACAACTCAAATGCTAATACCGAGTTTTTCGTTCGACAGAATGGGGATGAGCGCTACCCATTACGTTCTAAACCCTATTCCATCATCTTATCAAAAGCTCATACATGCATACCCTCTAGTTTCTTTATTTATAGATATGCTTTCGCTTGGGACAGGCTACCAATGGAAATCAGAGCGATACCAACGGCTGCAGCCTTCCTCACTGATTTACGCCGATTTCTCGACTCAATCCTTATTGTAGAATTTCTTGACCTAGACCAGCCTGAAGATAAGATAAGGGAATGAGGCGCAGACCGATTCTAACCTTAAAACCTGGCAATGTAGTTAAGCGAGTAACCCGTCGTCATTATCGGCAGCCCACATCCGCGCATCCGACCTTACCTAAAGCATGCCATTACTTAGCCTGCATTCGCTTTCTTCCCCTAAATATCTTGGGGGACCGTTCGATTGCACAATGGCGGGATCACTTAAATTTGAGTTTGGTAGGACAGCATTCAGATGACTTCATAAAACATCTTTTGCAATAACAGTAAAATTATTTGTGATATTTTAATATACAAAAACAGGTTTATCACTGATTTAAAGAAATTTTAATAAGAAAATTAAGGTAACATTATTGACCCTAAAATATTCTACATAATCGTGTTGGTGACAAGCTACGCTCCTTCATTTTCAGAGGAACAAATATTCAATAACGCAGAGCTGTATATCAACAAAACAATTAGAACAAAATGTGGAGAATAAACTCGGCTGCTACGGAAAATTTGCACGGCAAAGAATAGTTTTTCGACCTTCTTCAATCGAACGCTTCGCTGTCTGTTCGGCTGTCTATTGTCGGTTGTACTTCTTTCCAAGTGTTTCAGACACGTCGACTGGCACCTGTGGAACTGCAATGACGGCGGATGGGCCTTCATCAGCAATGCCGATCCTCACTCCCATTAGGCCAACGGTTCCCTCAACTGGATACGGACAGGAATTAAACGCGGCCTAAAGAAAGCTGACGCCA